ATGGCTGCTGGGGGTGCTGGGGGTAACGCTGGGTGACCAAGAGGTAACGCTGCAGACTAAGGGGTCACGATGGAGGTAGCCACGGGGCAGCGCTTGGGGAACAATGAGGGAGGGTGGTCATGGAGGTAATGTTGCGGGTAAGGCTGGGTGTGACGCTAGCATGCGGCTCAGCCCGCACGGCCCTCTTCTTCTCGGGAGAAACCGAGCTGCACCTGGAGGGGAGGGCACAAATACACTACCAAAAAATAATTCAGCCAAAAAAATGTGAGTTGCTTGTATTTGGCATGAGATGAGCGTTCCACGGGCATTGGCCTAATTTCATGATTGGGCACGTGACCACTCATCTCCCTCTCCCTGCAGAGTCTGAGGCCCGTCGGCGGCGATGCCCGGCCCGCGACCCCCCGCCTATGTATCGGCTCGCCTCGGCCGAATCACCACTATTACTGGAGGCAGATAGGCTTGCACGCAGCACGCGGCGCTCCAGTTATCCAGGCCTGCCTTTATCCAGGCAAGAAATTCCAGCGGCAGCCGGGGCGGGGCGGGGTGGGCAGGGCAGGGAGCGCCTCGGAGGCCTCGTCGTGCGATATGCGGGCCAGCAGCAGGGGACATCAATTATTGGGCTCGAGCCGGAACCGGCACCAGGCGCACCGGCCGCACCGGGCCGGCACGCCCTTGCAGCCGCACCGTAAACCAGCGGCCTGTCGTCTTTATGGCGGGAAGCAGGAGAGCCGCGGTGGCTTAGCGCCTAATCGATCCACCCATTCAATAGACGATTGTGGTCAAAACCACCGTCTTAAGCGGGGAAAACAAGAAATTAAATAAATTTGAAAGTTTTGACGCGTCGGCTGCGCACAGTGGGCCAGAAGACCGGTGGAGGGGGCCAAAACTCGAGACGTGTTTTGAGCTCCAGAGTCGCTAAAATGGGACTTGAACCGAACGTGTGACCCCACCGATGGAATCCTCGTTCGGAGAGCAATCCATTGGTGGAGTCACACGTCCGGTTCGAGTCCCATTTAGCGACTCTGGAGCTCAAAACGCGTCTCGAGTTTTGGCCCCCTCCACCGGTCTTCTGGCCCACTGTGCGCCATTCGTTGCACGTCGCTTGTTTGCGTTGCTGCTTGTGATGCCGCCATCTTCAGGTCGTTTTGGCGTTTCCGTTTTGACGGTGCCGCGACAGAGGCAGGCAGGGCCAGGCAGGGCCCCGAAGTGTTTTTACTGCCGCCCTGGCCTTACGTAAGGCACGTCCCGTTTCGTTTTTACGCCAGACGCCTATACGAAAATAAAAACAAAAACACAAAAAACGTGCCGGAGTAGTTATGCCCCCTCCCGCCAGGCAGCAGCGGCTAACTTCCACAGCAAAACCTATCAGCTGCTACACATTTTTCTTCATCCCAAAAGGGCCGTATCGGTCGACTTTCATCTTTTCGCTCGGTCGGGTATTCCGCTGCTTCGGCGCTTCGTTTGGACCGCTGTCCTTCCACTTATTATTTCTCCTCCGCGTTGCGCAACTAACTTTTGGCCCGAACGGTACTAACTGCCGGCAGAGCCCCAACGAGGTCCCTCATGAGACGACGGCTTTCAACGGAAACACACAGAGCTCCGTGAATGGGTGAATCTTGGTACACTGAGAAAACCTTACAAACTATTTCAGGCCTCACAAAGCAAAGCAGTTTGTTAGAACAAAATATTTTGAGCATACATAAGCTTTCAAAGAAAATACTCCGTAATTTACGAACTATATCATCGGATAACAAAGTAAATTAGTTTGTACGTATGTATGCTCAAAATACTTCGTAAGGTTTTAAGGGTGTACCTTCGTGACGATGATTTCAATTCTGCGGTGCACGGTACACGAGCTGTCTTGAAATCAAAGGAGATGTCTTGGTTTTCTTGTCACGGGGTTTGAATGAATTTATTCTAATTTGTCTAAATAAACATAATTTTTCAGAAATAAATTTTTCTGGACAGGACAAAAAATTGTGAACACGTCATGGGCATCGATGGCGAATCAAAACGTTATCTAACTTCAAAAGAACCCTACTGATCTGGGTCATTTTGGTCATATCACAAATTTAGAAGTTCAATAACTATTTTCCTATCTAACCCATGATATGTGTTGACATATTTTGTCCTGTCGTGCATACATTTCTGTAAAGTGATGTGGTCAATGTGGTCAACTTTGAAAATTCACTCAAACCCGTGGGAAATAAATCCAAGACACCCGCCCCGTGGATTTCAAGGCAGCTCTTTTACCGTGATGGGATCTCGGAAAAAGCCCGTGGGCTGTCGACAAGACGTTCGAAAAACCTTGCGCGGGTTGCGCTGGTTCCTCTGTCTGTGTCTTCGGCATAGTCTTCGGCCACCCAGCAGCGCGCGTCTTTTTGTTCCGCTGGCCTACTGACACTGCTGCCCTGCCGGCCGACTGGCGGCGACTGGCGGCCCTGCCCCACGCGGCGGTGTAGGCAGGTGCGCGGCGTGTCACGTCTGTTGCGCCATCCGCAACGCACAGTGCACAGCGTACAGGATGCTGGGCTCTCTTGTCTCGCGTCGATGATGGCGACACCTTATTCGGGAAAGAAAGGACGGGACACCTGCGGGGCAAAGCCCGTCCGAGTAGGTTTCAGAAACACTCACGAGAGCGTCCCAGACTGGTCAG